TTATCAAAATCATAGTTTATTTTCAAATAATGGTTTTTCTTTTTTATTTAATCTTTATTGTATTTTTTTATCATCTTTTCCCACACCCAGCAAAACCACACATTTTTTTTACTTTCTTTCATGAAAAGAAAGAGGCCTGAACTGGGGCCACAGAGGAGCTAAAGTTTATTAAAAACAGGAAGTTATTTTTTGTTTATCTATTTTATTTTATTTTATTTTATTTTATTTTATCTTATCTTATCTTATCTTATCTTATCTTATCTTATCTTATCTTATCTTATTTTATTTTATTTTTTATTTAACTAACCAGAAATTTTATCTGGGAAAAGAACCAGGAGCCATCCATCACCTTAACCTTAAGGGCCACCACGCTGTTATCCTGGCTCTCTGAAGTGGCTCAGATCAGGAGTGTTTCTGTGACCTCTGAGATGGAACTCTGGATGCCAGATAGGGCCATCGGCTTCCGAACTGTAGGTTCCCATGCTAATGAGACTGTAGTTCTGTACCCATTTAAAAATAATATCCCCCCTTCCCCTCGAATTTCAGGGGAAAAGGGGAAGGATTCACAGGAACAAGTATAAAGGACACATGGACAAAAACTAACAGGGGTGGAAATGGGAGGGAGGTGGGGAGCACTGGGGGGTGGGCTGGGCTGGGAGTAAAAAACAGAAAACTGTACTTGAACGATAATTAAATAAAAATATATTGTTTATGAAAAAAAGAACAGGAAGAGAGTAAATAAAATATTTATTATGTACACCAAAAAATAAATAAATAAAATAAAATAAAAATGATATCCAAGAAATGGCACCAAAGCGTATGATTTCAGTGTTCGCCTGAGTCAAATTGCAGCTCCCTCTGGTTTGTGCAACAGCACTAACAACCCTGTCCCGACCTCTCCAGCCCTTCCTCTGCTCCCTGGTTGGGAGTCAGGGTCTGCCCCTGATCGCGGGATCAGCCTGCATCTTTCCCTCCCTCACTGCGATACGATCTGTACTATGAGCTGCTTGCTAGTCATCAATCATAGCCTGTTGGGCCTCACCTCTCCGAAGCTTCCCCTGACCTGTCACCATCTCCCTGGCCCTGTGTATATATCCTGTACAAACTCCTATCATGGCAAGTGTGTTGAACTTTAATTATTGTAATCACTTGGTAGCATGTCTATCTTTCTCACTAAATAAACCATGTCTCATTTATCACTGTATTCTTAGGATTTACCTCATTACACAGAGTATAGTAGGTTCTCAATAAATGAATAAATTTGAAGCTATTCTAATATTTACCTTACTAATTATGGATAAGCTAGTTTTCTCCTTAAATTTTTAAGCTCCAACTAGAATAAAGACATTCCAAGTAGAAATCCTTAATAAGAGGCTAGTAAGAAGCTAGGAAAACTTCTTGGCAAGCAGAATGGGAAAACTGAGCAGGCAGCTGAACACAAGGGCCAAACAATTCACAGCCAGGTGCAGTGGTCACCAGGGCAGAAGGTCCCCAGTGCCTGGCAGGGGGCAAAACCAGAAAAACCAGGACCTCGCCCCCAGGCTAACCCTCCCTCCCCTGGCCTTTCCTCCCTGGATATAATGTCTGGGAGATGACATCCAGGCCTCAGTTGTATTTCCAGCTCCTCCAGGTCCAGAAAAGCAGCAAAACCAGGTGGGTGACGCCACGACCAGCCACAAATGACTAAAGACCCCCTGTCCTGTCACTGACCAGTCCGCGGAGACCAGGCCCCTGAAAGAATGAATATGCCGTCACCTGCAGAACTGATGACTATGCTACTGAAATGCCCCCAGACCTCCCCTAAGTTCCTGCCCACAAGAAAGAGAGAGAAGCCTCAAGACAAAGGACCGGGGAGTGCTCTCCCTCTGGGGAGCAGCCCGCGCCATTCCCTCTCCCTTCTTCTCCCCCCACTTCCTTCCCCACAGGCCCGTGTCTCCTCACCTCTAAGGCAATGGGCAGCTGGCAGCTGGCCCCAGGCTGGTCCCCTGAACCTGTCCCCAAGGGCCCCCTTCTCTGACCTCCCAGTGAGCTCAGGCGGCCCAGCCCAGGGTCTGCTGTTGCTTCTTCTATGGTAAGCCCTTCCTCGTTTCATTGACTGCAACTTTAATAAACGCATCCTCACAGTCACCTGGACTCATGCTGTGAAATCTCTCCTACATGAAGTCAATAACTCACACACTATAGCCGGCCCTGGCGGACCAGCTCAGGGAGGGGTCCCTGTCTGGTAACAGCCAAGTCCATGTTTCTCAAAATGTGGTTCGTGGACTACCGGCATCAGGATCATTTAGGAAATTGTTGAAAGGACTTAACGCAGACCAGTCAGATCTGAAGCTCTGGGGAACGCATGCTGGAGCCATGCCTTTTACTAAGATCTGCACCGATGTTTCAGAGCTACTACCTTGAAGCAAAGTTCCATTAATCTATCAATTTTGTTATTTCCATCTCTTTCCATAGAGGTTTTGAAGTGAGCATAATCCATGATGCACCAACAAATGAAATGAAATGACACATTAGTATCAGGGGAGAGAAGACTTTTGGTCGGTTTTGCATAACACGCCATGGCTAGGGTTCAAGTTGGATTCTAAGACACAGGCCAGCTAGGGCAAAAACAAACAAAAAAAAGGGAAAAGAAATAAACCGTTCTTATGACCGGAAGTCAAACAAAATGCCTGTTTTTCATCAGAGACCATTTTTCCCCCAAGCACTGAATTTTTAAAGCAATTTCTCACTTGAGATTTACCTCAGAGTAGTGAGTGATGGAAGAATCAATATTTTCGACACAATTTTTGCCAAATAGCTATTTCTGTAGTGGGTACGACATGATGTAAGTTCAGGATATGCAGTGAGGTTGCCTTCCCTTTCATGTTGTCGATGTTGTGATTTTGGACAGGGTGACTCTGAACAGCCTCTCACCAGTATTCCAGTAAAGGCACGTCTGCACACAGCCTCTTAGCTAAGCTACCTTACATCGCTTGCCACAGCGGGACCACGGCAAAGTTACCATCTCTAACAAGTACCAAGAACGCAGGGACAGAGTCTTGCTGCTTGAGGGCAGATTTATGTTCTTTGGAAACAAGAGGAGCAATTGGTAAGGCTGACACGCTATTTTTGAAATTTGAGAAGCCTAACCAGCAATATTCTCTGGATGGAAGTCACCCAGCCCTAAAACAACGTAAATAACAGGCAATCTTAACAACACCAGCTCATAATTATCAAAGAGCTGCCAGGAAGGCAGTGGATATGCGGTCTCTTAGTCCGCTGTAAGAACTCTGAGCTCCGGGAGATACTGTTCCCCTTTTGCACCTGAGGAAACGGACTTGCAGAGGTTAGGTCAATCAGCCACCCTCGCATGACTAGCAAAGGGCAGAAACAGGATTCACCTGCACAGCATGAACATAGAGAACGGGAAGACAAGAGCAGGGCCGTGCAAGATGTCCTGGCCTTGGCATCAAGACATTCCAGCTCCTCCTTGCTGACTTGGGCAAAGTAATGATATTTCTGGTCTTAAGGTTCCTTATCTGTGAAGTAAGGGATTGACTGTGTGACTTCTAGGGCCCACGCCTGATATAAAGTCTATGGCTACTCTTCTGAAAGGATCAAAGTTAACAGAAATCAACTCTGCTTCAGATACAAATTTCATTTTTGCCCTTGAACTATATAATGCTTCTACCCCAAAGAGGACGCACGGAATCAAGAGCTGCAATCGTCTTCCCAAGTGTTTCATTGCACAGGAGGTAGAGCAGCCCCAGAACTAACATTGAGAACTGCGATTTGTGTGGTTATTCTCTGGCAAGAATTCTAGTAAGAGCTTTAAGTATATGAGCTAAGTTTAACATCCTACAGCTTATGAGGTAGAGAGTGCTGTTAACCTCATTTTTGCATATGGGGAAACTGAGGCACAGAGCCTGAGTCACCTACCGGAAGTTGTGCAGGTGGCAACTGGTGGAGCCAGGATTTGAACTTAGGCAGTTCACTCTAGACTCTGGAGCCCAAACAATTTTTCTCAAGAGTCTAGAGTCCATGTTATTAGCTAGTGCATTAAGCTCCCTCTAAAAATTATGTCATGAAAACTTGTATTAGTTCATTGAAATGAATATACTAGTTAAAGTTTGAAAGTTATTTCTAAAGGAAATAACTGAATGTACTATTATGCAAATTCCATATTGCCATAGAGTTCTCATAGCTTTCAGTGATATCTTCGCCTGATTCAAAATAGTTACATTTTGGAATTAAGCCCACCTAAGGCCTGGCCCTCTCTCTGGCACAGCGCCTGGAAGATCACTCCATAAATGTTTGTTGGATGAACTAATGCGCTCAGGACAAGAAAGTTTCCTCCTTGCTGTGCGCATGTACGTTCGATCTTGTATATCTCACTTTAATACCTAACAAGTGGAAAGAAAAAGCTCACTCTGATAGGAGTAGGCATATTTCAGGTCACAGTAACTTCTCGTTCCAAATCATAGAGTGCAAACATTATACCAAACACTTCAATTCTCTTAAACAATTTAAGAGAAAGTTTTGAAGCACATTTTTCTTCAAACCTGCCATTAAGGAGGGCCTACCTCTTCCTTAATTTAAACTATTATCTATTCAGTGCTAGAGTAATTATGTAACTTTCCCCGCCTTAGAGGCCTTTACTGACAAGTCTTCAACTGAAGGACCACTTTATATTGTTTCTTGAAAGCACTGGAGAACTTTTTAGATGAGAATGCAACATGATATCCACTAACACCAGAATCCATGGGTCAAACTCTTCTTTTAGAGCATGCACCCTATTAAGCATGCAGATTTAATCTTTCCCTTGATAACCCTCAGGGATATCAAAGGTTTATGATTTTTGGGGGGAAGGGGTGGCTTTTAAGTACACAATGTACTCATGACAGCAAATCAAACCTGTTAGTGGCATCAGCAAGTGGAGTCGATGCCGGGAACAGGACCACTGCAAATTTTATTAAAACTGCAATCACTGAGAGCACAGCACACACTGGGGCGGTAAATACCTCTCTCTGTGGCATTGGTCATATTAAGAGCTGCAGCATAAACAAAGGAAAAAGCAAATCAAATGTGTAAACATTACACCATCGCTTCCGCTTTCCTAAATGCAGTAAGGAAATCTGGTGTCTGGGAAGGAAGGCAGCCAGAAAGTCTAATCATTTTTGAAATCAGTCCTGCTCTCTTGTAGATATATTTCTTGACATTTGCATGTATATAACTTCAGTCTTTTGGATTCTACTTACTATCTTATGTACTGTGTATGTCTGCAAAGATTCTTGAAAAAAGAAATGCCTTTGGTAGAGCTGTTCGACCCGAAGAGTTCGTGGTGAAGCCTTTTAGATGGCTGAGCAGTAGGCTAACAGAATTCAAGGGCCCTGACAAGTGACAGACAGTCATGCCTGGAAGCCACTTAAATATAAGATGGCTGTCCTTCTATCCTCAGTCTCCATGCCTCTCCCAAGTGTGGACACAGGGCTCTGCTTTGGGGGTCCCCTGCAAATGACAAGGTGTTTCAACCTCAAGGGAAGCCTGCAATAACTGTCCCCCTACAAGGACTCTTTTCTTGTTCTTGGTCTGCTTCTGGGACCCTCAGCTTCTCACTGTTCTTAAGCCACCCCTTGCCGCTGGTATTCCTGACTGTGAAGCCTCCCTTGGTTCCAGCTTCACCTTTGCCTAATCTTTTCCTTAACAGCTTAAAGCTTTGAGGGTAAACAAGGTAATAATGGAAAATGCCATCCAGGGAAGTCTGATACATTGCAACTACCATTTCTTTTCATTTGGATCTCAAGTATTCTACCCTCAACCGGTTTCTGTACCCAAAACAGGATTTGTCTGAATGTAGTAAGATCCACACTCAGCTCCAGTAAATGAATAAAGAATTCCATAATCAGTAAGCCAAAGAATATAAGGCAAATATGATAAAGTTAGATATTTGTAAACCTTTAGATGGATCTTTTCCATCAATTAAAAGACTCACAATAAGGACCTCTCCAGGTAGTGACAGAAAAAGAATTACATTGTCATATCAAAAGCATGTAATTTCTGTGACATAATGTTTATTAAATATATATTTTTAAGGCAGAAGACCCCTCTGGTCAAAAACAGAATGGTAAAGTCAGAATCTTGCACCAGGGGACATCTAAAGCCTCCACAGTGGGAGCCTGTCCTTGCAAACTCCAGCCCTAGGGCTCAGTTCACACCCACCGCCCACCAGCACACCGCTCCGCCCCAGGGCATCTGTCTCCTGGTCTTTATACAGTACCCGGGAGAAAATTGTTTCAGTAAGATACATGAGAGCAACCGTATAGATCGATCACTCTTAGGATACACACCACAGCAAACAGAGAACATGAGGCAGACTGGAGAGACAGATGAGACCGTCTCTTAATTTAGAAGAGAATTCCTTTGATGGGGCTCTGAAAAGTCACTTTACCTGTTTTCAATCTAACAAAAATAATACGCAGCATGTATAAATGTTGCAGTGGGGAGGCTACACGGAATGAGGCTACTGAGCAGGATGCTTTTTCCCTCTGGGAGGACTAGCTAAAAGAAAGTATCTCAAGCAAAGGGGCGTTTGTACTATAATATAAGGAAATCTTTAGGAGCCAATGGAATTGATTTACCTTTGTGCTGTCATTGCATTGTCATCCTCATATTTGCAGAAAGCTAAGGTGTGATCTCAACCAGAGGAAGAGGCCACAAACCGGGTGTGACTGCCTTTAAGACCAATAAGATGGATCTCAATTTCAGAGATGTTAAAATGCACAACAATGAAGCAAATAATTAGCCAATGGTGGTTGTCAGAAACCAGTGACTCTGAGATGCTTTCAGGATATGGCAAAATATTTAAAAAAAAAAATAAGCATCTTAGAATCTGTGAAATCTAGAGGTTTCTCTGGCCTTCATCATGTCCTGCTATGAAGCCATTCCTAAGCCCACTGTCACAGATGCCCGCGACAAAGGATGAGTCCCCGCAGTGGTGAGACTGACACCTCTCTCTGCATCCCAGGTGACTGGAGTTTGGGAAACCACACAGTGCTTCCTCTTCCTGTGGGAACTTACCTTTATTTTGCTTCGTGAGTCAAGAACACCCCACCAAGTAGAGAAAACATTCATTGAGAAATCAGAACCCAAATGAAATTTGTGCTGGATCCTCCAAACCACTCTAGAATCATACATTCCAGGTGTCTGCCCATAAGTAAGGAAGAGAGTCAAATGGGGTGAGAACCCCCCTGCAGCTGTGCATCTCTGGGCCCTTCCACTTCCCACTCTGCCATGTGACTCCTGGACTGCCATGTGCAGGCCCCAAGCTCACTGCCATCACAGCTAAACTCCGTCCCTACGGAAGTGGCACGTCCCAGGTTCTGTGCACCATGATTCCACACTCAACCTCAGTTCTTCAGCTGACAGCCAAGGGCTGTGAATACCTAATCAATGTAGGGATCAATTGCCTTTGACAAAGCATTTCCCATCCCTGTGTTTGTTCTAGAGCAGAGTGGGGCAGCAGACTCCAAAAACAATGTATCAAACCCAGTGAACTGAGAGGTTGATGTCGCTTTGTCAAAATAGTGTAATCTTTGGACTCCAAATTAACTTTTCCAAAGCATAAATACAGGTATTAATTCTTCCTAATTATAAAGGTCTCTTTTAACATTTTTTAAAAAGTATAGAGCTGTATAAAATATGAATAAGTAAATAAAAATTAACCCCTGTGTAATTCTGTATGTAGAAACGATGACTATTAATCATTTGCTATATATTCTCTAAGATATAATATGTAACCTATTGTTCTTTAACTACTTTTTCACTTAGGAATATATTAATATTTCCAATAAATTAATATTTCTAAATAAATAGAACAGTATCTTGCAGAACGAGCTCATGAGTGTATTGCTCTGTTATTTAAATTCCTTTTTATCCCTGACCTCTGGAGATTTACATTTTATTCTTATGAGTTATACAACCAATCCAGCATTTCCAGGTGTTTACATTTAGAAGATGTTCATATTATCTTCTCAGTCAAATTTTGGGGACCATAAACATTTCATCCAAGGTTTGCGTTACTTGGTACAGAAAGATGCCACGGTTCATTGCTTTGACCGTTCTCTTGCAATATTCTCAGATCCTTTGCCCTGTTTTCTTTCCTTCCTGGCAAAACTACAACACTTGAATATTGCCTTTGGATTTGGCTTTTTACTTTTTGGGGACTTATACTTGTATTAATGAGGAAAGCTGGGGGTGGGGGCAAGGAGACAAAACAAAACAAAACAAAACAAAACAAAACAAAACAGTGTCTCCCCATATCCATATCCCATTCCCTACTTGCTGTGGCCCAGGAATCCTGGTTTCCCTTGTGAGTCATCTCTCCCATTCCCCACAGCTATTTTAAAACCTTCTACCCTCCTCATCCCTCGGCCCCCCTTTACAGAAGTAGTTTCAGAAGATAACCTTACTTTCTACTTCCTACAGGACATAGAGACCAGCAGAACAGAGTGTTCTCAAATTCTATCCACCAAATGCGTTAACTCATTTATACCGGAATACACCCCTTTCTCCTTCCTGTTACAAGGAAGGAAGTTTCCTCTTCCCTGGTATGGTGGTCACATAACTTATCATTGAAGCCTAGATACTTTTGAAAGTAAAAGAGGGACTCTATTAATAATTACTCCAGGACAACAGGTGTAAGCCAGAACGTCCTGGGAAAACTGGGACGTGTGGTCACCCTCTGTACAGAGTTCGTCGCATCACTTGTCCCCTGAATACACCCCTTCTGCCTTCAGGAGCACCGCCAACATTCCCTTGAACATGCCCCTTCCCTCTCTCCTATGTTCAAATTTTCCTTTGCTCTGGGCTCCTTCTCATTAATATTTTAACACTTTTTATCTTCTAACAAGAGAAATCTTGCAAGGCATCACTAACTATACGCCATATGCACCGCCAGCTACGACTCACCTTTTTGACCTTGCTCTTCTCTCTTCCAAATTCGTCTATGCCCAACTGCCTGTCTTTCACTTCCTGTTCTCCATTATTTATAGAATTCTAGCACCTTTCCTAATCCCCATTCGGACACTATGCTCGACAATGTTGCACACCGTGACCTTGTTCTTTAATGGGACAGACCTTATTCAACATAACTTCAGCTCCCAGACACCCCTATCTGTGCAGTCTCGCGTTCGTTCTCTCTGTTCCTCGGTTTCCTAAAATAGCACAACGCTAAACCTTCCTCACGCTGTTAGTGCTGATGAAATAAAACACCCATGTAAGGCATTTAGCATTTTTGAATGTTAGACATTCCATTGCTTATCCTTTAAGAGAAGCATCTGTGTTTGCCCATACGTGAGTTAAATGGTTCTGTCAGTAATTTTGTGCTTCACTGTCTGAGCCTTGTAAGGTGATATGAAAGGAGAGGATCTCTGCGTTGCCAGCCCAGGGACCCGGCAGCCTGAGGATGGCAATCTAGAAAGGGAGCTCTACTTTTGGGCTGAGGGTGTTTCTTTTGTGTTTGTTATGACACCTCAGATCTAGCAAACACCCTGGACAAAATCCAGGGCCTGGCAGGCTTATCCTCATTAGAGGCGTATTCACTTGCAGTAAGTGTTATCCCAGAATCAAGTGGTGCTCGTGGAGTTCTCATTCTAATTTGCTCAAACTAATGTTCAGAGTTACTGATGCAATGCATTACAAACGCTCACCCTGTCCTGACTGACCGTGGCCAAGATGCATCGTCAGCCCTCCCCATGCCCTCCTAGGAGGCATTTGCAGGCACTTCTGGGATTCTTCCAGTTGCTTCACAGTGGTGTTTTCACCCGTTCTGAGTTGTCTGCTGAACTAGACCTTCCTTTAAATAGGTCATGTTGTATCATTTCTTGTGGAAGCACCTCAACTACTTCTTTAAGTGGAAGCCAACCTTTCGGAGCTCCAAGAAGAAAAACAGATTTGCTGTAATTTTTTTGTTCTAATAGTAATAATTACAGTTAATGCCATTTTAAACTGCTCATTATGTACTTGCAACTGTGCTAAACATGTCACAAATTTTCGTGTATATTGGCTATTGAATAGGGACTAGGATGGAGTAAAAATGGACGTGTGTGATAAAATTATCTTACCTACTGTTAGGGTAACTTTGAATAATATGATCAGTTTTTGCCTTGGCCAGTGTGGCTCAGTTAGTTGGAGCATTGTCCCATAGATTGAAGGGTTGGCCATTTAATCCCTGGTCAGAGCACATGCCTAGGTTGTGGCTTTGGTCCCCGGTTCAGGGGTGTGTGAGAGGCAACTGATCCATGTTTCTCTCTCATGTAAATGTCTCTCTCCCTCTCTTTCCCCCTTACTTCCGCTCTCTCTGAAATCAATAAGCATGTCTGCAAGTGAGGATAAAAAAATAAATGATATGATCAATTCTCAACACTAGCAAGTTAATTAAAACCTCCAGCAAATATTAACTGTTAAAGCAATGAGCATGGCCATTTAAATGTTAGGAAGAAAGAAGAGAGTATTCAGTTTTACTGCTGGGCATGATACAAAATTAGATGGCAAGGCAAGGCCAAACTGTGTAATTGGACTTCAGTAACTGAGGTTTTTGATAATTTTTGGTAGGCCAAAACTAAAGAATCATTTTGATATTTATGAAGATAGTGACCTAAAAAAAGCAGTAATATATAATATAAACGTTCATATATTGAAGAGGAAAATATAACATTATATACAAATGGATAACATTAATTCTGTATCATTCCACATATAGTTCAAAGAAACACTGAAGCCAGGCAGATCTTCAATGTGTCTACGTGTGCAACTGAGTGTGTTAGTATGTTTGTTTTATACTGAATAATGAACACCAACTGGTTGTTGCACACTGAGCTTTATATCGCAGTCATAATTTAAAAGATGTTAAATTATAGCAACAAGGCTGAAAATACATCTTTTTAATGGCTTACAGCCACTATTCTCATAACAATGTTCATTTTCATGAGGAGTTCATGGAAATTTTATGAGCAGTTGACACAATGATGTAATAAAAATGTTATCTCAAGTAAAAGTAAATGTGGAAAATGAGATCATTAGAACTGTGAGTGGAAGATCTGGCTGAGAAATAAAAATAATTTTAAAGGAACTAATAAATAGCAGCCTATATGACTGAGAAGGGTGAGATGTAGGAAAAGATAAATTTTGGCTTCAGAGTAGGATGGAATCAAAAAGTAAGCTATGGGGAAACCTAGAATTGAAAACTTCCCCAGTTAAACTAGAATATAATGAGGCCAAGTATACGATAATCCAATCACTCTACCAATCAGATAAGAGAAAAGCAGATAATAGGTGATGATTCTTATAGTCAGCACTTACTGAGTGTAAAAAGCAGACTTGCTAAATACTATCAACACATCGCTGAACACCCACAACAAACCCTGCTGTACAGGTGAGAAAACTGGGAACTGAGGGAGGCTAATTCTCTGGCTTCTAACAAGCAGAGCTGGGAAGAGTTTTACATGCAGCTTTCTCACCTAGCACAAGTGTGCTGGTCATTTCTATTTTTAAGCAAAATGTGATGTAATTTTAGGACATGAAGGATCCGACAACCGAAGTAATAAAACAGCTAACTGATTCTGGATCCTAATTTCTCAGTGAAGAACTTTCACACACAGTTATTGAATTCGTTGACTATAAAAGAATATTTTTTAGGAAATGAAAACATGTTTTGACAATGTAACTCATAGAAGTAGAACTCTTTGTGTTTATACATTCTGAGTCAGTATTTTAGTGTTCTCAACCCTTTGTGACAGAATACAATTTGAAAACAAACATTATTTTCTTGCTTTTGATATCTTTTTAAACGTCATGTCTACTTACTGCAAGAGATCAAATGAATGTCTTCAAATGCATACACAAGTCAGATTTATCCACGCCAATTAGACGTTCTAACGTGGTGTCCTATCGTTACTATTGTTTTTAAATTCACAGTGAATTTAATCTGCTGTGGGCAAAGTTACCAGTGATCGTAGGCAGTAGATGAAATATAACCTATTACACCAGTGCAATTTTCTTTCTCTTTTCCATTACTCCTTTTATAGTCTTGGCCTTAAAGTCTAGTATCTGGAACAGCTGAGGGGACGGGACTACCTGCATCTTTGCTTTTGCCATGTTCAGAACAGCCTTCAGCTAGAACGCAAGACCCTCCAATACCACGCAGGGGAAGGAATGCAGCTCCTTACCCTCAACTTCCAGCTTCACCAATTTGGAATAGGCCGTCCCGAGGCTGTTTTTGGCCACACAGCGATAATGTCCTGCATCTTCCTTTTGCACATTATGAATCCTTAAACTCCCAGATTCAAGAACTGCAATGCGCGAATTTTCCTGCCAGGGATAGGGACATGAATTTTAAAAGGTCCATGGCTCTCTCAAGGACATATTTGCCACATCTCATCAAGTTATTGTTATTACTGATGCCATCCAAAATACCATTTGAACATTTATTTGGGACTTATGTATAACACATGATATTATATAAAATAGTACAAGATTACCTAAATTAATTTTGATATTAATCTCATAAGATTAGTTTATTTTTATAGTCTTTCATCACATGAGAACACCAAAGCTAGTTTGATTTCCTAAAAGTCGCATCCAAGTCGCTTTGATTAAAAGCATTGCTTTTCACTACCGTATTTACTGTGCACCCTATGTAGTATGCTTGGGGAACTATATGTCTTTTGAAAGAATGGCAATTTCTACAAATAAAACAAAAATTGGTTTTTGAAGTTAAAATACTACATTTATCTTCTCTTCTGGAACTCTGAATTTAGTAACATGCATAGAGCCACCCCTTGCTTTTATTGTTGGAAATGCATCAATACGTACAACAAAAGGAAAGCCAGAGACTTACATTAGGTTATCATAAAATATTTGACATTATCTGTTTAGTTTAAATCAAACAAAGCCGATTGATTTTACATCATATTTCAATTATTCGACACATAGCATGACCTATTTATTCCCCCTGGAATATTCTGTTATGTAGGTGTAAGATAGGAAGGCAGCATGAAATGAGCAGGTGAATAATTATTTTGACTAATCTTGGGGTTCGGGGCATTTATCAAGATGTTGCTCATTCACCAACTTTGAGGCTTCACACTCTAACTTCACTCCAGAGAGTTCTCACTTATTTTCTTCCAAATCTCATCTTTCTCTCTCCTTCCAGAAACTGTTCCTCGGGTCTAAAGCTTGGATTTTAGTTCCAACATTTTCATTTCCTAAGTCCCTAAGATTCAGTGTTGAAAACTAAATGTTCAACCAAACAACTGACCCAACCAACCAACCCGCCAACAAAAGAGCCTCTAGCTTTGCGTTTACTTTGCCTGCTTTTTCTTCCCTAACACTGTTGGTTCCTGTCCTGTGTGAGAGTTTGGTGAAAATATTGTGCATGGAAAAAATCTTATAATCAAAGTTCATGGGTGTAACAGCTTGCAATGGATTGCTGTATTTGAAAACGAGTTGTGCACACGTTTTAACATAATCATCACTTACCCTGAGAGCGCTGTCTCCCTTAATCCATGACACTGATGGTTTGGGATTGCCCATCGTAGTACAAGGTAGAACTGCCTTTAATCCTTCTATTATTTTTACATTTATAGGAGGACGAGTTATTTTAGGTTCTAAAGGGAAGTAAAAATTCAAAATTAAAAAGGCAATACAGCTTATTACACTTAGAGTTTCTACCTTTCTATTTAATTCTAAATATCCATTTTAAGAATAGTTTTAGGCATATTAGGTTATAAAATTCCCCAAGTGCTAAAGCAGGTCTCTAATGGATAACAAAGAAGTCATTTATGAAAGTTTGGGTTATCTCTAGTTTATTAATAACTTGAAGAACACAAATTTATGAAACATATTAGGAACCTGAAGTTTTCATAAATTCTTCCCTTTAAAAGATAGTTAATAAAAAGTTGACTAACACAAGCCACCATCATAACAATGCAACATAATTTATAGAAACAGACAAAAAATTTTAAATGTTTTAAGCTTACATTTTTATATAATTCTGAGTTATGACCTACTTTCCCTTTAGTTTCTGTCATTGTCTGACCATTAAATTTGATGACTAAGAGGAAATTAGGTACATTTATTCTCTAGAAAGTAAACCAGATGTTATTATATTAGTAATCAGAGAAGTTCTGTCATACAATTTAATATACTCTGCAAAACAAAGCTGGGTCATTTATCATTTTATGAAACACTCTTAAATTAATTCCTTCAAAATAAATAGTTTATGTCAGCTAGTTTTTATCCTCCAAGCTTGCAGAGGAAGAAGTTATTAATCTAAATATATAGAAGGATCGACAAGTTAGGGATGCCGTTATTTTATTTCTTGAAACATTCATATAATAGTGAAAACTAAATTTATTTCCTTATAACCTTATGTTACAGATACAAAATGGATGACTGAGAAATGGATGCCTTTTATTTCTTTCAGGTCATGTGCCATTATCAATTTGTTACCTTGCCAGAGAAGAGCATGAAATAAGCACTTTTTTCTCTTCTATCTCAATTATATGTTTATATGTATGTGCTGGGAATGGGTTTGGTGGTGGTTATAAGTCTTTAAGAAAGTAGAATATGAAGATATCAAGATAGATATGCAGAAAATATAAGAGAAAATGGAATCATGAAAAATTGAATAAGGAGATTTAATATTTATTAATTAAGAATGAGACAGAATGAAGAAGAGAAATTAAAAAATGTACCTGAAAAATTGAAAGAAAAGAGGAAGAGAAAAGAAAAAAAATCATCTTTGGTCTTTAGATCAAAAGGTCCCACTTAAAACTAAGTAGGAACAATATAAGAAAACAGTTAACAGATTCTTGTGAATATGAGAAATTCTAGAAATAAAGAGAAAAATTCAAAAATGTTTAAGAAAGCTAAATATCAGACTTACCTATAAAGAAGTAAGAAAAAGGCCCTGGCTGGTGTAGCTTTAGTGGATTGAGTGTGGGCCTGTAAACCAAAGGGTTGCCAATTGCATTGTTAGGGCAGAAGCCTGGGTAGCAGGCCAGGTCCCCAGTACAGGGAACACGAGAGGCAACCACACATTGATGTTTCTCTCCCTCTCTTTCTCCCTCCCTCCCCTCTCTCTTAAAATAAATAAATAAAATCTTTTTAAAAAGTTAGACAATGTAATTTATAAAAAAGGAAAAGAAGAAAAAGATTTCTCTTCTGCAAGAATATCATATGAAAATGAATAATTATCTACAAAAAAACTAAGGAGGAAGCCTTTTAAACTCTAATTCTATATCTAGATTATTATCTAAGAGTGAGGGTGAAGTAAAGACTTTCAGCCATGCAAAGACTCGGAATCTATATCTCATACACTCACACTGAAAAGAAGCAGCTAATACTTTTCTCCAAAAGAACATGACAACAGAATAAACATATAAAATAAATAATGATAAATATCAACAACAATAACAAAAGTGTCTCTGGTGGAACTGGATTTCACTAAATTTTATGGTGCCAATATGCATGTTTGTGTGATTACTCCCTGCCCCCATCTGTAGCATGGTGTCAGATAGAAGAAAATAAAGATTATATCATTACAAGCCTAAGAGTTTATGAGCAACAGCAGAGGAGGTTGTGATATTTGAGGATTCTGGTGAGGGCGTGCTTGATGGTACAACACCAGGTTGGAAAGAGAACTATGCATGGGAGGAATGAAGCCCCATTTGGGCATCAGTGGAAGGGGGAACAGATCAGAGTCAAGGGCAGGAGAACATGAGTAAGAAAGTGAGGGGGGTAGACTCTGTTCTTAGCTGAGAGAGAGACAGATGGAATCCGTGCCTTCTATTGGAGGCATATCATGAGTCTGGGAAACCGCTTCCCTGATCAAGCAATGCTGGAATCAGAAATGTTCATGTTCAGGGTACAACATACTAGAGTTTAGGGTTTTAAATACAGTTCATTTTCTTGGGCCAACAGGTCATTGATTGGGTAGGCTGGTAAAGAGTTAAAGCAAGCATCACTGGATTTGTGGGGTCAAGGCACTGTAAGGATGAAGTAGCTAGAGGTCCCGCTTTATGACTGTTAAAATCCCCTAGGATGACAGCCAGAGTAGACAGCAAGGTGAAAGGGAAGATACTGGAATCAGAGTTGGTCAGATGGCACAGATCCTCACATGAGGAAAGGTTTTGCACCGAAATATACAATATGACGGCTTAAACAAGGGCTAGGGGATTAGCCAGGAACTCGCTAGCCTTGTAGACATGAAGTGAGGAAAAAATAAACAGCCTCTATTTAAAAAGAGAAGTCACTCAAGTCAGCAAAGTCACTCAAGTCTGCAAAGTCACTCAAGAAAGTCAAGCTGAACTAAGGCAAAAGCATTGAAGAAATGTTTGTTAAACAACTAGAGATAAAAAAAAAAAAAGAAAAGGCGGGGTGTATTTGGTTGAAATGGAACTGTTCTAGAGACACAAACCTTAAGAGACAGTTTCCTCAGTGAGAGAAGTGTGGGTGGAGCACATAAACAGCTGTGTCAAGGCAAGAAAATGAAAAGGACAGCAGCTAACTGACTTGCCTTTCGGGTGCTGGCTGATGGCAGGAATAAGAGGTGTGGAATTAGCTTCCTCAAGGTTGTGTTTTGAACTTGAACTTGTCTAGCTTCTGAACCTTCAGGCCTGTGGGAGTCTCTATTTACTACCTGCTCCAAAATGTACCAAGTCAACTTAAAAACCAAGAGAGGGTTGTCTTTCTCACTCACTCATCTTCACTTGCAGGGCCCCGCAGCTCTCGGCAGCGCCTCCCACGCCATTGTTGGCTATGCAGCAGTAAATGCCATCATCACTGTCTTCCACACTCAGGATGGTGAGCAGCTGCCCGTTCTCTCGAATGCTGTACCGGGTGTCAAAGAGCCTGCAGGGTGCAGGGGGAAATGCCAGGTTAGGGCCTCACCTGTGATACTTCCCCTACAGTGAACTGATCAATCAGATGACTTATCAGTGAGGAAGTAGATTAGAATTGAGAGGAAATGAGTGAATTCTGAATAGTAGAATAGCCTTATTTAGTCATATACAGCTAACATTATATTCTAATCTTTGCTAGGCTCTCATAATCAAAGCACCATTGAGTACTTTAAAAATGCTTTCAAAAGGGAATGTCTGCTGATAAGACCAAATGTAAAGTTTACTTTACTTGGGAAAGTATACTATTACCAAGATACAGAGTTGTCTTCCCACAATTACTGGGAAATAGCAGCTGGACATAATGAACACACGCACCTCAATGTAACTAGCAGAAAGGGTTAAATATTTATAAAAGTAACTGTCAATTAACTGCACACTTATTCATTCATTAAACAAATCCTTAGTGAAACCCTAACAAGTGCCAGGCATAGTTCTAGTTCTTTGGGATACATAAGGAAGCAAACAGCCTTGACTTCCCACATCAATTAAATCACTGTTTCCCTTTGAGCGATTCCCTTAACCTCACTGAAGGTCAGATCTTACATTTATAAAATGAGGACATTTGCATTTTATATGTTATGGAAGGTGAACTTCAATACTGCCAAGAGCTGTGGTTGCTTTAATGTCAAGATACATCTCAAGGCAGCCTTGGCATTCTTGAAAAGAAAAAAAGGCAGAATACTTACTTAATGAGAATTTTATTTCTAGTCCAGGAAATTTCAGGCTGGGGATAGGATTCCACCGCACACATGAAAGTAGCCACTTCTTCAACTAAGGCATCCACGGTCTCGAGAGGAGTAGTGATGATAGGAGCTAATGGGGGAAGGGAATGCAAATGAGAGCTGTGTGCTGACCCTCTGTAAGCAGTCAGAGGCCTCCACAAGCCGGAATGAGGATTATATTTCCACATAGCACAAATTTGCCAAAAGGAAGGAAAATTTTATGTAGAGAATTTGGTTTCTACTTGCAAACTAGGCATTTGAGAAGCAAAAAAGAAAGCTCTTAGGATAGTGAGACTTAGAATTTATTGTATGTGAGTAGGGACAGGTCCAGGTTTTGGAAAGCCCAAACATATATAATTTGGGCACCTTCTTGAAGGACAAATATATAAAATTAGGAAATATAAAATGTCTGTGGCCACCCCACCACCAGTCAACTTCAAGGGAAGTGTGACTGAAGGGAAGGGAGTGAGAGTGGAAAGAGATGGTATTCTTCACAATTGTTTAGAAACAATGTCCCCTACATTTTATTAAAAATGCATATGTTCATATGAACACATTTCTAGGGCCTTAAGAGGATCTCCTGCAAATAATAGACTTGGAAGTTTAAGCTTTATCAGATATAGAGAGAATTCACTTCTGCATATGAGTAGATTAGAAAAAGACACCGTGATGAAAAGACAAATGATCCAAATAAAAATGGGCAAAGGATCGTAACAGACTTTTATTCAAAGAATGTGCACAAATGGAAAACAATATGAGAAGATGCTCAACTTCATTAGCCATTAAGCAGCTGCAAGTCAAACCACAGTGAAATGCCACTTCACACCCACTAGAATGGCTCAAATCAAAGGGAAAGAAACCACAAGTGTTGGTGAGGACATGGAGACATTACCGCACCAGTGTGCTGCTGGTGGGAATGCCAAAGGGTGCCACTGCTGTGAAAAAAATATGGTGGCTTCTCAAAACATTCAACATATAATTAGTATGGGATCTGTGGGTATAGATCTAAAAGAATCGAAAGCGGGGACCCAAATAGATTTTTGTACACTCATTTTAATGACAGTATTATACGTGATAACCAAAAGACAGAAACAACCCAAGTGTCTGCCAACAAATGAACAGATAAACAAAACGTAGTTTATCCACACGATGACATTTTATTTGACAATAAGAATAAAGGAGGTGTGATACATATTATTACAACATATTACAACACAAACCTTGGAAACAAGAAGCTAAAGGCACAAACCCAGTCACAAGGACAACATATTGTACAATTTCATTTCTATGAAAAGTCCAGGGTAGACAAAGCTAGAGTAACAGAAAATATATAGTGATTGGCTAGGATTGAGGGGGGAAGATGGAGAGATTAGGGGGTAATGACTAGAAGCAAAAAGGAGTGTGAATCACACCTTTGCCTTGGAAGGACCCACATTCTAGATGACAAGGTAAAATCGATATGTAAAATACCAAAATAACAAGCTAGAATAATCAGTTATGCCTGCTATCCTCTTACAGTCATGAATACTGCCCCCTTTGCTCCAAAAATACCTGAATTTGGACAATAAACTCTGTGGCCATTTTAGTTCAAACACAAGGTACCTGTGAAAGCCGAGTGAGTAGGGTGGACAGTACATTAGATGCGGGGTAGTTGGTGACAGGCTCATGAAACACCAAGAACTGGCACATTGGCCATAAAGGATGCACCTACTATCTACAAAACCTTATTTTTTTTTAGTAAACTCCAAGGCAAACTCATCAGCTGAGAGTGAAGGAAAATGGACAACGGCAGCTGGGTGTGTTTCACTTAGCAACTATCCCCTTTGGTAATGTTATTCTTTTCTTAAAATCTTTTTAAAGCATCATCTCCTCCCAATTTCCCTGACTTGTTAGAGCCAAATGCCCTTTTCCTCAAGCCTTGTCCATCCTGTGTAGTCACTCTTACAGTGCTTGTCACACAGACGCTATTAATATGGTCCGTTTATGTTTTGTCCCACACTCAGCCATAAAAACCTTGAGCTTTCGGTCAGGGATCATGTTTCTACCCCGAAGGTTAGCACATTTACTGATGTATTATTGAAATGAACTAGACTACATTTCTGAGGCCTGTAGAAGAGGCATATGTTTTCTAAAAGGTTCAAAAAGAGCAGCTGAAATGAGAAAGCAGAATTTTTAGCTACAATGACACATATAGGTACCAAAGCCACCCTTTTTCAATTTTCCACTGATATAGACATTAAAATCTTCAGAATGCTGTACAAAGAAATAAAGAAATAAAATGCATCAAATAAAGGTGTTAATAAATGTAAAATCTAGGCTGACAGGCATTTCTGATGGACATTTCAAAAAAATAAAAATAAAGCAGGGGGAATAACCTAGGCTGATGTATAGCTGATTATTTTTAAAAATTAAAAAAGCATGAATATTCAGATTGAAATTTATACCAAGTGGCAAGTCAAATAAAAAAAATAAAGTTATCCCTAGATACATTGGATTAAATCTATAAAAAATAAAGATAGAAAGTCTTAGACCTTACTAGAAAGAAAAGATCAATTGCTCCGATAGAAATGCCAATTAGACTGATGTAAGATTACTCAGCAACAATTGATGCCAAAATTCAGTGGACTAATACCTTTAAAGGGATGAGATGAAATAACTTTCAGCCTGAAATTCTACAGCCAGCTTAGATAATAATTTTCAATGAAGACGAAATAAACACACAGACCAATACAGATACCATTTGCCACTCATAGACCTTCTGTGACACAGTTGGCGAAGTCTGTAACCTCAGCAAGAAGTCATTTGTACCCAAAAGGCAAGGATGAGAGACGGCAATAGTAAACACAAATGGTGATGAAAATTGATTGGAATTTTAACTCACTGTGGAATATTTAAAAAAACAAACCAGGAATTTCTGTGTTTAAAAATGAATGAAGCTAAAATTATAGATAAACAATGATAAGCTCAAAGTTCAGGGAAGAGGTTCTGCAAATAGTTAAAGCTAAGCTCTTTGCCACAAACAGGCAGATGACAGAACTACTTAATAACTACAAACAGGAAAAGAAAAACACGTATGGCTAAATGCATGTGTTAAAATTTGTTTAATGTTTTGTTTACTTTCTCTTTTTAGACTTCACATGTAAGTGAAATCATACGATATCTAAAAAAACCAAAATAAATGAAGAAACTAACTCTTAAATACAGAGAAGGTACTGATGGAAGACAGGTGACAGGGGTTAGGGGGATGGCCAAAATGGCAAAAGGAATAAAGAACTACAGATCACTGGTTATTACAATGGTCACAGAAACATAAAATACAGCACAGGAATACAGTACAAAAATGTATTAATGATTACACTAAAATAGGTTAAAAAGCAAACTTCCAAAGTAGCAGGAGAAAAAAAGGGACTTGAACTCTATCTATCAAAACAAGGAGGATGAAGAGGATGTAGAAGAAGAGTAAGAGGAAGAAGAAGGAGGAAGAGGAGGGAAAGAAAGAGAGAGAGAGAGAAGGAAATAAAGAGAAAGAAAACCAGGATAACCGAGCTAAGAAAAGATATGGCTAACAGAAGACATAAAATAGTGTGGACGAAACATGCCTGAATGTATCGGAAATCACAGTAAATGCCAATGGCATAAACTGACCTATAAAAAATAGATACTATTATATGAGATTAAAAAACACAAAAGACACACCTAAATAAATTAAAAGAGAAATGTTGGAAACAAAGAGGAGGAAACATAGGTAAAGTAAGCACCACTTGAAGTGATAAAGCGATAAACAGTACTAATATGAAAAATAAAATATATGGTGGTAAGATTTATAAAATGAAGAGAGACGTTACTCACTTATAAAAGGAATAATTCATCAAGAAGATACAACAATCATGAGGCTTTGTTATTTAAAAATAAAGACTTAAAGTCAAACCTAAACATTTCAATGAAGTTATACACTGCTAAATTTTTAAGGAAAATTATATACACACATATCTGAGAGAGAGAATGGAAGAATGAATACCAAAATGTTAAAAAGCATTTCCCTAGGCATGCACCTTAAGTATAATTTTATTTTTTTTGTTTTGTTGTAACATGTTAAAAAGGAATACAGTGTTACAAATGAACACATTATTTTTGTAGTAAAAAGTGATAACAAATCAGAAGGCCACAGAAATGTTCACTTTCCAATGCCATGACAGCAAACTTGTAACCGATGAATTTTGAGAAAGTCAGTCTCTTATGTATAAAATATATATTTACTAAACAATTAGTGAATGAAATAAGCAATCAATTATATAATCACATAGATGTTAAGAGATAAAAACAAAAAATATCATATTAAATTTGTGGGATGCAAGTAATGGTGGGCCCAAAGGTTAATTGATAACATTAAACGCTTTTGTTAGACTATTGAGCAACTAAGCACTGAGAGACCCTCTAGCACAGGGCTTGAACTCAGACCCCCTCTCCATCCCCTTCCTGCCCACCACGTCACCGAACTAGTGCCTGGGCATCTTCAGCTGTAGGCAGAGGCGATAACAGAGGCACCACATGGGCTTCTACTACCTTGCAAGGGCCAAGCATTAAATTTTAGAATTTCATGAGAAAATTGTTAAAGCTATTATTAAAAACTAAATTACATAAATTTAGAAGTGAACTATGTTAAAAACAAAGTCATACCACTCAAAATTCATCACTTCCTAATTATTTTACTCCAGTTTCCTATTATTTTTGTTCTTGAGGTTACTCACATCTAATACATCTGTATGGTAGAAGCGGTAATATAAAGGCGTGCTTTTGCACATCTTTTCCCAATTCAGCGTTGGTAGGGTGAAGTCGGCGGTGGTTGGAGTATTCACACTTCAGAAATCAACAAATGCAACAAATCGGGGCCTTCTGGTTTTTCTTAGAGAAGCAGATATTTGACACATACCAGCAACTCTTATCTAATTAGGAGGTTATAGCAACTGCCAATGGTGCCTTGAAGATCAGAGATAATATAGAATCTGCTCATTCTCTAGTGTTTAGTTAAAGTGGCAGGGGGAAGAATTACATAAACAATTTTATTATGATACCTCTTTTTTTTAGGATACGTAGAAAAAAATAGAAAAAAATATACCAACGTGTTAACAGCCCTGTAAGTATGGATGACTTTTTTCTCTTTTCAATCTTTATATACTTTGTGTTTTCAAAATCATTCTTAATGGCCATGTATTATTTTTATTTAAAAATCTTTATTCCTTACTCTCTTCTCACTCAATACATAGATGCAGAGTGATGGAGGTAACAGACACATTATTAATATTATCTTTCCAGTGAGGAAACACAAACTCTGTGGAGATCAGTTATGATCAAAGAAGTAAATATTAGAATGTCTTGACAAACAGATATGGAGAAGTCTGTGAGGTGTTATTAAGAACTTTATTAAGTTAACACCTTCCCATAATGTTCTGTGGTATGACAGTGTTATGTGGTTTGACTCTGTTTTTAATAACCTTAGCATCTAAAATTGATTAAGAACCTGCTATGGGCCATGCATCACATTTTCCCCTTCGTTATCTCATCTATGAATCACAACAAGCAGAAACACATGCTATTATTATTCTCATTTGCAGGTGTGACATGGAGGCTAAGAATGGTTAAATAACTTGTCTAAACGTAAAAAAAGTACAAGGTGAGAGAGCTGAATTTCAAGGTTAAAATTGGCTCAAATTCCCTTGTCTTTTAACTCTAAGCTATACCATGTCTTCAAGCATAGTACTACTAGTTACCCACAGAATGCGGGCAGGAGGGTAAGAGTCATATTCAATATCAATTTCTTTTGGCAGAATATAGTTGCTTAAGTTCATTTTGCCCATATTCCAAAATTCTCCAAACAAGTCTGCTTTCAAAATTTTACTGACACGATCACACAGTTGTATTTGATGATACTTGTTGACTCGGCGGACTGTCTCGTGTTTGCTTTCATTCTCCTTCCAGCTTTCATCTCAGCCAGAGCCTGTTTAAACTAGGGCACTATTTCTCCCCTCAACCCAAGGACCACATGAATAACAAATACATGAAAATGAACACAGCACTTTTCTGGACCCAAAGAGTAACTGAACTTGACTACTAGCTGCTCGATGAGAAGGACATAATATTACTCTTTTAGGGGCTCTAGCACGTGGGTCACTGCCACACCAACTTCAGACTGAGCAGCTGCTGATTCACGTGACCAAGTGATTGAGTAAACAAAGAAGTCAGGTGTGTTTACTCCTTTTTGTTTTAGATAAATTTGGGTTCAGACTTCTGAGCAGGAGAAAACACTTTGGTATTGGAAATTTTCCAAAGCCCCCAAAGAAAGAGGATATTCAGTATTACCCAGCATTTGGCATGCCTTAGAAATGAACGCGTTTGTACTACTGGTGATGTATTTAATAACATGTAAGTTATTTTTTGCCATGATGTCTTTGGAGCTGGTAAGGTTTATTGATTATCTCGATAATCACCTACCAGTGCTGCATCATTAACTCTCCTCAGAACACACTCTTGGTGCTTCAGGAATGACACTGGATACAGGCAGCTAAGAGTTCCAGTTCAGTCTGGAGTTTCTGAAATTGTTTCTCCTGGGGACATTGCTTTGGGGTAAGGCAGGATCTCAGAGGGATCCCTCTAAAATGTACATGGACCCAGGAGCGACCATTTCACCAATCACTGACAGTCCTTAGCACAGTCCATAATATCGTATGTTGAGCACTGGTAAGCACTTCCCCAGGCCTCAAGTGTCCTTATTTCACGTTCTTCATTGTTCAGCCTATACTGCATGATCATGTTGCCATAGAATCTCAACTTTCTCACTCTATAGCCCTTTAGCTGCATTGACCCTTGAAAGCACCAGTCTTGAACCAATCCAGATAGCTGATCTTGCAGCTCCTATGTACATATATTATTGTCTGATAAAGTGAAACTACGGTGCAGATCAGAGTTGCTAGCAAGGTGCAGTCCTCAGCCCAGCTGGATTCTTAGCATGGCCCACAAGTGCTTCTACATTCTCTGGTCCCCTGTTCTCCTCTTCCTGAGTGAGACTACTTCCTGTTTACCCCTCACTTGTCACTTTCCCCCAGTGACTGCCAAGTTCTATTTCACTGAAATATTGCCTACTTCCCCTTTGGAAATATGGTAGAAACCTTGACATTTCTGCTCTTCCTTTCTGTTCTTTGAGGTCAACAATGTTTAAAGCAACTTATGTTTCCCCAAACATGTTTCCCAAACATGCAATGAGTTTCTCTTTCAATGCACATCAATATTAAACATTCATCCAGGATGTGGTGACCACGATTTTCAATGACAGCTGTACCCGCTCTGAATTAGTCATATGTCGAGCCTGTGAATCCTATCCCTGCATACATACATTTTAGAAGAGGGGATTACTCAAAAATCTCTAAAGTATATCAGTCAGACTCCAAAATTTTAAGGAATGCTAGTAAGTGAGGTAATTTTTAAAACGGGGTGTAGACAGGAGTTCTTCATGCATGTTAAACAGATTCAGTGTTGCTTACATGAACTCCTATGCTCCCACAATTTAAACTCTGCTGTACATACAATACTTCACGCTAAAGCATTAAACATTTTAAAAGCATGTGGCTGGCTACTTTCATACACGATAGTTCGTAAAATTCTCCTTCTTGTGGGTTATGATTTTGAGCTCATCATTGAGAGTATCAGCAGTTGAAATGATTCAGAAAAATAGTGACTTTTCCCTTGTCTTTGAATATCAGGACTCTCAAACTGAAACTAAAATAGTAAACTATGAATTCTACCAAGTCAGTTATGAATTTTACTGAGAAAATGGCATGCTGATAGAAAGGAATCCACTGGATTCCTTTGCACTATTTAAAATCTGCCAGTCTATTTTGTGAAATGTTACTGGGTAGATTCCCTGATTTATTCATGATAAAGGACTTAGAAAAAAATGTATACCAACTAAAAAACATGTTTTAAAATTGCCTTCTGCCAAGAAGTTAAAAACAACTGCAAAATATTTTGTGTAGAACATTTGTATTACTTCACACAATATTAAAATAATAGCACATGGTTGTGTTTTGTTTGTACCAATATAGTCCATGAATTTCAACACTTACAATTAGAAAGATTGCACTTTAATGATAATGCTCATCCTCAGAGCTGGGTTGTGTAGTTCATTGATCCTTGTTCTGTAGACTCAGTGTCTTTGGCTTAGGTGGATGTTAAATGTGTATTATTTTAGATTTTATAATAAATACAGTAGACTAGGCAAAACTATTGTTTTAATTTTTGATTTTACACTCTAATGACAGTGGCACATAAATTATAAATAAGTAAAGTTGGATTAACAATCTGATTATTTTATTTAAAAGCCAAGATACCTGATTTTGTTAGCTTTATGCCACCATAGTTTGAAGTTATATAGTGTGCATTTGAAATAAGGGTTTTATCTATAAAATTTGGAAACTGAAAATCATTACAGGATATAAATTAGGAGTTGCTCATAGAAAAAGCTTGTTTATTTTTTCCTTTTTTTGTGCACCAACTTCTAATTTGAGCCATCAAAATCAATTGTCCAGCTCCTTGTAAGACCATATTTTACTGAATTTTAGCATTTAACCACGTCACTCTATGTAACTTTGTGGTTTAAAATAGCACGAATGGGATACAACAATCTCTAAGTACCAGCACCCAGGTGCTGTCCTACCGGACTTCCGTTGTGTGAGCAGGAAATATTACAACAATCTGAAAGCAATGTCAAATCTTTCTGGCTATTATTAGCTGTTTGAAAAGATCTAGATTCTCTTTTATCGGCAGATACCTCAAAGCACCAGTTGGCAATTAAATGTTTAAATGCATGTGCTGATATCATACTGCTTATGTAAAATGGAAAAAACCCAACAAAATAAATTAAGTTTATGAAATCAGACTATCAAGAAAGCTGTATCTTATTCACCTGGGCATCTTGACACTGTGGCTCCAGAAATTTTAAAGAACCACAAAATCTAAAGCTGTATTTCCCATCTACATACAGATACTACCTTTGCTTATCTATACAATGCAAGTATGTTTGGTTCTTTGATCAAATAATATACAAAGGGAAAATAATTTCTTTGAATGTGTCCTAAAACAGAAGTCTTTTTATGCTACTGTGATACATTAATTTGAAAACTGTTTACTTTAATGGATATCATTCACTCCACTCTCTCATGTCTTTTTTTTAAAGTTTTCAATGCAGCCCTTGGTCACCTCGCAAATCACATATTTTCCAGTCTTTCTCCCTGATTTGAAACACACTAGTCTCAGCTTCATAATACACTGGCCAGAAACCATGTCACTGTGGACATTCTTGCTACTGCAACAGGTGTTTGTCAGTTTCTTAAGTTGCTTTCCTTTCCCCTGAGGTCGTGTTATTTCCGGTACATTCCAAAGGCCCTGAAAAAAAACCTTTCGCAGTCTCTTGCCAAGCCAAATCATGACTCGGCCTCAAAGTTACTGAGAACCCATTGTCACCAGGCTTTTATTAAATAGGCAAATTGTGTGCATCTATCTCTAATTCTAATTTTTGAGGAACCGAAATATTCATGAAGACTTTTGTAAAATTAAAAGTGAAAATGGAAATGATTTTTTGTTCAGAAGCAAGCGCTCTGGATGTCTGGGAGTAGGGTTGATTATATCCCTGCGTTAAAAGGTTTTCATCATCCATTTAGACCACCCTGAAGTTGGACATCCGTGTAAATAAAACAGATCTTGATAACTTGCAGTCCAATGTTCCTACCTGCTAATGTTTCCTCTACTAGTGAGCGTTCTGCATGCACTGTCTGGCTCAATTTTTTATTGCACAACTTAAAGCAGGGAGGGATATCGCAAGGAAGGAGCCCATCAATCAATTGCTTATTTATATAGCTCTCCACACATCGAACCCCTACTTCAGCAAGTAAAACCCAAGCTCACCATAATTTGAATCGGTCATAATCAGGGCACACGCACAGACACACTCTTTAGAACTGTGACAGGGCAACAAGAAGACAAGATTGCTCAAACCAACCTTTTGGAAGTTTCTCAGTCCCGCTGAAGGCAACCAAGGTAAGAATGTGTACCAGTGGAATGTTGACGAGCTCTCTCATGATTAATCCAGGCTCAGGCAGGAGAAAGTTCCTTCTGGACAATGCAAGGAAAATGCCCCGCAGTTTACATTTTAAAGCATAGTTTGTTACAAAAGGGTCGTCTGCTAATGACTGTTTGTGTCAGCAGCTCCCCAGGCTCTAAGTATAATCAGGAATTCTCAGACTTGGCTGTAATGATGGACACGGCCAGCTGGTGAGTATCCACTTAGACCAGTAACGCAAGTGTAGGGCTGGAGGAACAAGGGAAAGAAAATCCCTTTAGAATCCCTTTTAAGACGGTGGCAGAAGGACAATACCAGATGCCTTTTGCAACCACCACTGCAGTCCCTGGGGTACAGGTTTCCTGATCTGATTCATCTCACCACCTCTCCTGCACTCACCCCAGAGCCCTGGGCGTACCTAACAGGGACTCCTCCCCGCCCCACTCCACCGCCCACCTCCAACTCCTTACTGATACCTACAGATTGTACCAACTCAATATTCCTTGATTTCTTCCCCTCCTTTGATTCCAACTAGTATCACACTGTCCCAACCTCTTTTTTAGACATTCATCTTCTCTGAACAACAGAGATAGCCCCTGTCCGTTCTCTCTGCCTGGTGCCTTACGGTCTTCTAACATCTTTTCAGATAGCCTCCCCTGCTCAAAAGCTGTCAGTGGCTCCTTAGCACATAAAAAATAGTCAAACATCCCTTATATGATATAGAAGGTTTCGCTGGACTCTGCCTACCCCGTTAGCATCATCTTTTATAATCCATCCGTACCTCTTATTTTAACAATAGCAACCCACTGTTGCTTCCCTGTAGATACAGCTTTCTTGCTTCCGTAGATCATAAATTGCTCATACAGTTCCAGCTTCTTAGAATGCTTTTCCCTTTCTCTCCGCCCAGTTAACACCTGTCTCAGCTTGATCATCACCCCCTTTCTGGGAGCCCAACCCCAAATTCTGTATCTTCCCAAAATTGTGTTAGGGTTGCCTCCTCCGGGCTTCCATGATACAATGGACACACCTGTATTGTTGCACTTACCTCATGGCTTCAAGATTTTTTTCCCCTTGCATTGGAGGCACTCTTGTTCTTTGGCCCCCAAAAGTCCACTGAGTCAGCAGCTGGGGGCTGTCAGCCAAATGACACTTTTAGCTGCCGTGCCTCCTGGAGGCGCCCCTCCAGTGGCTTCTAAAACGTCCCACCATGCAAATTGCCTTTTCCCACTGAACAGCATGTCTTGGAGACTTTGCTATGTTAATACAGACAGCACACCCTCGTTATTTCTATTGGGTGCATTGCCCTCTGATTCATGGATATGTGATGGTATATTTAACTATTCCCCAGCAACTTAGCAGAGAATCCACTTCCTCACACATTCACCAATACTTACCTTTGAATTTTTATATGTAAGTGAAATATAAAATTGGTATTTCATTGTTTTAACTGATGTTCATTTTACTGAATACTGTTGGTAATGAAATTGTTTTATATGTTTATTGTTACTCATTTTCCTTTTCTGTGGCTTTTGCCTATTTTCCTCTTAGGTCATTTTTCTTCTTCTTATTAATTTACAAGAGTTTCTTTAATACTTTGCATGTAAATAATTTATATCATTTCAATTGTTATATATGTTGCAAATATTTTCTACATAGAATAGCTCTACTACCCAGCTGTAGTGATTGGTTCAGAAATGGGCTTATGGTTCAAGCCGGTCAGTTCAAGGTCTCCCTGGTATATTACTGGACCTAATGCAAAATAAGCTCTTCCTTCTTAGATCGCCACCCACAAGAGCCAGGTAATCCAGGGCCATTGGAAATTTCCATGCTCCATCAGCAAGAGTCAATGTGCAAAGCCAAATCTGTCTATTGAACTTCCTTGCTATTTAAATTAATAAATCCTCTCCTTTGTGGCTTGGCTAATATTAATTTGATTTCTTAAATTGCAATCAAAATAATCCTAATGCAATTTTGAGAGAAGAGATGTAGATTTAATTGGGTTTCTGCTCTGGGAATATCCTGCAAAATGCCACTTATTTCACAGGAAATTTAGATATTAGCACAACGAGCTCATTTTTTTAAATGTGAAGTTCAGGAATCAGCTGATGAACAGTGTGGTTATCTCTCATTCCCGGGCATAGCACTAGGTAAATCACAGGGTTCTAGAAATTGGGGCGGCTGTAGACCTGTGAGCTAATGTTCAGCTCGAGATCAGGAGCCACCATCGGTGAAGGGAAGTCCAAGGCGAGCCCCTCAAGGGGCCTCCTCATTCAAATGTCCAGCAGGAGGGTGTGTGAGTGGGAGCTCTCCGTCTTGTGTTCCCTTTCCCCTAAAACATCAAACAGGGATGGGTGGTGCCCACTTTTAATCTAACAGGAACTGCACCCTATAGAACCAGTGACCCCAGAAAGTTATCTCCTCCTTCAAGTTCTACCACGCCCTGACTCTGAAGGGGACAACAGTCCTCTGCAAAGCTAAGAAAGGACAAAACTCTGCTCAGGAAAAACAAAGCCAGAATTTGAGGGAGAGTGCTCATTCAAAATAAATTCATCATTGGCCAAGAGAAATCCATGGCGAGTATGGCTTAGGCATGAGCCCAAAGTGTGGCAGCTGGAGGCTACCAGCCGATTTTGCTCCTTGCTGCAGTTTCTTGGAAGTTGGCTACAAAATGGCTTTCTCTCCTACAATAAAAGCAAATCTATTCCTTACAATAGTAGGCTCCTTCAGCCACAGAGAGTGGAGACTGGGTGCCAGCCAGTCTTCTCTTTAATAAAATACAGCCAACCATCAATTAAGCTTGCCCTGCCACCCCTAGTATCTCTGCTTCATGTTAGAAGCTGGGAAGTGAGCTCAGAACAAGTAGCACCATTCTTAGCCCCATCTTGAACTAGACACAGGATCTCAGCTGCACAGCAGCCGATGAGACCAGCCCCATTCCTGCTGGAGTCAGCGCGTCACCGAGTAAGCTGTCCTGGTCTGCACCGTGCTCTCATACATCTAGTGAAGCTTGGCAAAGAGCCCTTTGCAATGATCACAAAAGGAGGTGACCTAATTCTTTGCCCTACTGGTCAGCGGACAGTGGGGCAGAAATGCCACATGGATTGCCCTTTCCAGAAAACTCCTGGGGAGTCAGAAATATATTCTGAAATTATATTTTTAAAAAGGGATAGAAAATCCCATTAAATATTTGGATAGCAATTAGAGATGTATCAATATTTTGGAGGCCTACAATGATATAATTAGAAGCAGCTCTTACAGAAAATGTTTGTCTAATAGATGAAAAAATTGCATTAAGTATCCACTCCCAACAGTGGAGCCTAATGTCTGGTTATAGGGTGAATATTATATGATTACATGAGTAGCTAACTAAATTATAACCTGGAGAGATGTACTGCGCTGTGAAACTATGTAAAATTGAACGTGGTCTTGTCTGAGGGCTCAGAAATGCTTGTTTGAGAAAATGTCACTAAAGCTAATGCCCTGCCAGATAAATAAAAGTCAGACAGCCACACTAGGGAGGCCTGGGAGGGGACTGGAACATGTAGTGGGAGAAGAATGAAAAAATGCCTGGGACGTGAAGAGACACAGTGATGTGATGGAAAGGAAAAAAGGTCGGCGTGTTTGGAGTACAAGAAGTGAGAGCAAACGCTACGGAGGCAGGTAGAGAGGGTCGACCAGGATCTCGTATATCTCAGGAAGAACTTCATTCTCACAGCTGTGAAAGCCCATGGGAATGTAGATTGCAATTTAAGTTATGAAAGTGAATTGGATATGCTAAGAAGAGAGTTTAGAAGAAGAGGAAGCACTAGAACTGAGTCATAAAACATTCCAAGCTTTGACAGTCTGTAGTAGATAAAGAGCTAGAAATACTGATTGCTAAGAAGGAGATAGTGAGATAGGAGGAAAAAAAGAGTATCACAAAAATGAAGGGATGGAGAGAGAGCATTTCCAGAAGGAGAGTGTGCTTGCCAGGAGTATGCTGCGTGCTACCGAGAGGTTAAGTAAGAAAGAACTGAAAGACCGCCATTGAATTCGGTCACTTAGGTGTGATTTATGACCTTAATAAAGGGCGATCTCAGGAAACAGAAGAGCGTGAGCCAAGTGAACAGAGTCATATAGGCGGGGGAAGAGTGAATGGGAAACCAGAACATGGAAACAGTGCATAAATATGATTCTCTCAGAAAAAATAATTATGAAGGGGAGGAGATCTAAGATAGTTAAGTGGCAGCTGAAGGGAAAGATTGGATGGAGACCAAAATTATTATATTTAGTTTTTAATGTATTTTGAAGGTGTGATGCAAAGGATTCTGTAGAGAAAGGTTCTGTAGAAAAGAGGTTAAAAACATCGGAGAGGAAAGAGATAATAGAGAGTTCGAGGTCTCAAGGAAAGTGGGAGGAGCCAGGGTCCCGAGCATAGGATCTTGTAAGACGTAAAGAAGTGGGTGAGGCACAGATGACCAGGGAAATATGTGGGCGGAATGGCGAAGAGTCTACTGCGCCCCCATCTGTTGACTCCTTTTCTAAGTAGAAGGTGAGGTTGTTGAGGATTTAACACAGTTATTCGGAAGACTAAAAGAACACACGGTTGAGGTTGTTCACTGTGAAGTTAATACTGATACCTATACACACTAGAGTTATCATTTTTAATCTCTACCACTTTTCAGCTTCCCAAGTGACAGATGTTGAACGATTAGGTTTATTTTGGGGGTTGGGAAAGGAAAGAATATTAGTTAGTAATACATTAGTCCAAGGAAGCAGCACGCCAGAAGAGAAAATGAAATGGGATGCTAGGAAGCAAAGTGATGTAACAAAGACAGAGATAGTCGATAAACAGGTGATGTTCCTGGTAGGACAAAGAAGGCAAGAACATGGCCAGTGAGAGCAAGGACCATAAAGAGAGGGATTCGGTGATGGGGGTAGGTTTAAGTCAGTTCAGGAGTTTACCTTGGAAGCATAGCCCAGGACCTGGGGCCATTTGGCTTTTGTGTAGTTAAACTCATTTCTCAGAGTAGAGACCAGCTCTAAAGCCATTGTTATTGCCCGTGAGGAACAATGAGGTTGTAATAGTGTGGACAGAGAGGAGAGGATGGATAGATTTGAGACAAGTATGGAAAGGATTTCATCGTAAAGTCAAGATGAATACCAGATTCCTAACATGAGAAACTGAGTAGCATGGGGCTACTGGAGTGTGGCATCACTGCGGGGACCAAGAGAGCCCGGGAGTGAACACCTGGGATGGTGACGGGGGGTGGGACTAGTAGAGGGAAGAAAAATTGAGTGAATATAGAAAGTGGAGTTTTTAATT